TGATCTGGACTGGGCTGGGATGTTTTCTTAATGTACAATTATTCTTTTATATGAAAATCTCTCTTATGTACATATGAGTATCTATGGATTTGTTTCTCTAGTCTACCCAGACTAACACACACATACAAGCACACAACACACACCTATATAAAGCAAAATGAGAGTAATAAATACATACATATCAATAATGTCACTGAATATTAATGGACTAAATACACCAGTAAAGAGACATAGAGTAGCAGACTGGATAAGAAAACAAAATCCATCATGATGCTGCCTACAAGAAACACACCTCACAAAGACATGAACAGATTAAAAATCAGAGTCTGAACAAAAGCATACCAAGCAAACAGTAACCAAAAGGAAGCAATAAGAGACAGGAACAGCACCACATAATGTTAAAGAGAGCAATAGCTCAGGAGCCTATAACTAGATTCTGGAAATACATCAGTCACATCCTCACAGAACTGAAAAGGGATATAGGCACATCAACAATAATAACAGGAGACTTTGATACGCTGCTCTCAAGGACAGAACATCGAGATAAAAAACTCAACAAAGACACAAAAAGCTCAATAACACAATCAATAAAAATGACATCATAAACATATACAGAACATTTCATCAAACACACACACAAAAAAGTATATGTTTTTATCCAACACACAAGGAACATTCTCAAGAATAGACCACATACTAGGCCACGAATCATGCCTCAACAAATTAAAACAAATTGAGTTCCTACAATCAGTCTTCTCAGACCGCAAAGTTATAAAATTAGAAATCAGCCTTAAAACTAGCAGAAACATAAAATAAACACATGGAGATTGAACAACATAATACTCAGAAATGACTGGGTAATAAAGCAAACAAAGGAGGAAATTTAAAAATTCCTTGAGACAAATGAGAACAATAACATATCAAAACCTTTGGGACACAATGAAAGCAGTAATCAGAGGTCAATTTATAGTCGACACACACATGCAAAACGAAGAGAAATCTAAAATCAACACCCTATTACAACACCGCCAAGAACTGGAACACGGACAACACAATCCCTCCACTAGAGGAGATCCCACCCCATCTTCATCTGTGTCTCCGTGAGGAGGAGAAATGTAATGATTTTCTCCACCTTTATTATCTGTGGTTGCTTGTTCCTAAATGCAATCTCTGTCCTGCTTAAGCTGACCCGGTACAAAAGGCGCTCTCTCTCTCTCTGTCTTTCTCTTTCTCTTTCTCTCCCTTCACCCCCAACTCCCACCCCCAGTTCATGGCAGTCCCTCCCACACTTAGGAAGCAGAAGCCTGCCAGGTGCTTTCTCCTGTTCTCCTCCCCCATGTCATAGTGACTGGAGGGGAAAGTGCATCGGGAGTGAAGTACTTACTTTGTTCAAAAATAAACCACCATGGCCAGCCACCTATGTATCAGCTTCCTGCTTGGCCCGCACCTCATCCTTAAAGCCCACAGGGTTGACCTTGGCTCCTCTGTCTATCCTTTAAATCCTTGCATTAGTTTGCAACCTGATTGGCAGGGACTACCCTGGAAAACAGACTCCGTCAGAGATAGGAGTTGGCATGCAGTAAGTTTGCTGAGGGATGAGCTCAGGATCAGCACTTGGGGTGGGTGTGGGGGGTAGTATTGGACAGGGGAAAGGATTAAATTGTAATACAACAAAAGCCTCGACTGATCCCACCTGGAATCTACAGTTGGTTTGGCCCTTCAGAGTAGTCCTGCCTTGAAGCAAGGGAGTCAAGCCTTAGTGATGACTCAGTGGGTATGGTCTGTTCCTGAGAAGAGACAGTGATCTTGAGCAAGGTGACTATCTCTGGCTTAGGGCAATTCCTGGAGGGAGATTCGGCTGAGAATTCCCAACTGCCACCAGGTTTTCCTTTACCTTTGGAGACGCCTCTGGATAGACTCAAACCTCCAACATTTGGATTAGCAACTGAGCTCTTAACCACTGGCTCTATTACAGTCCCTTGACCTATTGGATTCTGTGCTAATACCATGCTGTTTTTACTACTACAGTTTTGAAGTATGCTTTAATATCTGGTAGGGGATTTCTATGTTACTCTTCTTTCTTAGAGTTATGTCTTTGTGGACCCTCATTCTTCCAAAGGCATGTTAGAATAAAGGTTTACACTTCTCAGAAAGTGCTACTAAAATTTTAACTGGAATTGCACTGAATTGAAGGACTAATTTCAGGGTATTGATATATTTACAGTCATCAAAGATTCAATATTCAAGTCTAGTTTTATATCCTTTAAAGAATCATAACTTTCTCAATAAAAATGTTATGCAATAGATGTTAGAATAAGTCTAGGATTCCTTAGAATTGCTATTATGAAAATTAATTTTTCTTACAAATTTTCTAGTTATTTACATCTGGTAAAGAAGAATGCAAGCCATTCCTAACTCAGTGCATTCAAATTCTGATGACTCACACCTATAACCGTAGACTACCTCACAGATCATAAAGAAAGGGAGCTCACAGCTCAGGAATGAACAGATTTTGAAAAGGAATGAAATGCTTAAGAAAATAAGGAGGAGGAAGGACAGTGGTCAAAATGTTTACTGTAAAAAGATTAGCGGAAGTTTTTTCTAAACCAAATCAGGAGCTTCGGTTGCTTAAAAATTAAATTGTTAAAGCTGATGGACAGATTGGAAAACTGTGAGATGTGGCAGCAAAATATATCAGGAAAATAAGAAAAGGGCCAGCTGGGCAACTCTCGCTACGGTTCTGATGGAAAGGCTACCCTCATTCCGAGGGGTAATCTGCAAGCAAAGGCATTACCACGACTGAGGGGGCAGACTCTTCTCCGCTGTTGGAGTCAATGTTTATCATTTGTGTGCTTTTTATGGAGGCATTAAAATATATCTGTATGTTTATATGTAATGTTTTCAACAGGCAAAGACAAAGATTAGATTTACAAAGATACTCATAATAAAAGGTAATAATAGAAACCTTTTTAAAAGCAATAAAACAAAAAGTATTCATGTAACATCAGAATCAACAAGATGAAATTGTCAAAACAGAATCTTATCATCAGTAAGGACCGTGCCAGCTATTGATTTTTAGGATCTGGCCTGTATCCAGTGACTTTGCCAAATAATCTTCATTATGTCTAACATCATGATCCATTTATTTTATTAGATTTCCTCAGTGACTTCTACTGTTTGTGTGTTTAAAACTAGCTCGTGTGTCACTAAAGAATTGAAGTTAGTTTCCATTTGACTTTTCCTCTTTTTATAACCACTCATACCAGGGTCTGGATCTGATGAGTATGGGAACTGGGGGGTGGGGGGTGGGGGTTAAAGGCTGTTGCTCTCGCTCGCGTGCTCTCTCTCTCTCTCTCTCTCTCTCTAAGGCTTTATATTCTACACTAAAAATAGTAAAAATTTTCTCTTTTTTCCTTTCAATCCATTTATTTCTTTTCTTAAAAAAAAAATAGTTTGCCCAGCTATCAAAAGATATAGTGTCTGAGGCTTAAAGACTTGAAGGTAAACAAGAGGCCATCTAGCTCAGAAGCAACAAAGCCCACATGGAACAACATATCAGCCTGTGTGATCACGAGGTGTCAAAGGGATCAGGTATCAGGCATCATCAGAACAAAAAAAATCATATCGTTGTAAATGAGGGGGAGTGCAGATTGGGGACCAAAGCCCATCTGTAGACATCTGGACATCCCCTTACAGAAGGGTCTTGGGGAGGAGACGAGCCAGTCAGGGTGCAGTGTAGCAACAATGAAACATACAACTTTCCTCTAGGTCTTTAATGCTTCCTCTCCACCACTATCATGATCCCAATTCTACCTTGCAAGTCTGACTAGACCAGAGGATGTACACAGGTACAGATAGGAACTGGAAACACAGGGAATCCAGGGCGATGATCCCTTCAGGACCAGTGGTGAGGGTGGCGATAGAGAGTGGCGATACCAGGAGGATGGAGGGAGGATGGAGGGAGGATAGGGTGGAAAGGGGGAACCCATTATAAGGATCTACATATAACCTCTTCTTTGGGGGATAGACAACTGAAAAGTGGGTGAAGGGAGATATCAGATATGACAAAATAATAATTTATAAATTATCAAGAGTTCATGAAGGAGGGGAGAGTGGGAAGGGAGGGGAAAAATGAGGAGGTGATACCAAGGGCTCAAGTAGAAAGCAAATGTTTTGAGAATGATGACGGCAACAAATGTGCAAATGTGCTGAACACATTGGATGTATGGATTGTGAGAAGCATATGAGCCCCAATAAAATTTTATATATATGTATGTATATATACATAATGGTATTTTCAGTGAAGATTTGCACACTAACTTAGGTTCCCACTCAATTTCTACACAAATTGTTCAATTATTCTGGTTACATACTTCGTGATATGTGAACATTCCCAATTATGGTTCTGGTTGTCTCATTCCCTTTACTCTAGTTTCCCTAGGTATGTCTGGTCCAGACATTGTGTTAAATGAAAACAAAAACCCACTGCCATGGAATTGACTCCAACTCATAAGGAATCCCATAGAATAAAGTAGAACTATTCCCTGAGGTTTCCAACGTTGTTCATCTTTACGTGAACAGAAAGTTTCATCTTTCGCCCACAAACCGACTTGCGAGTTTGAACTGCTGACCTCTGGGTTAGCAGCCCAATGAGTAGCCCTCGACACCACCAGAGTTCCTATGTTAAACAGGGAGGATGTTCATCACGTGGTCTTTCTCTTATTAAATTCACTGCATGGATTATACTGGACGATTTTGCTAGTGGGCTCTGGCTGCATTTCTGGGATAAACTAAGATCTCCGTGCACTACTCTTCAGTATGCTGGACTCAGTGGCTAATATTTTGAATTTCATATCTATGTTTACAACAAAATTTAACCCATAATTTCCTGCAGAAATGTTAGGGAAGATTTCTTTTATTCAACAATCTGAAATCACTTGTGTAAATCAGGAGCAGAAGGGAATCTTTTATCACCATTTTCATTTTTGTTTTTGTTTTTTCAGGGTAGAGCACGAAATCAGTCCCCCACTACCACAAATGATGCAGTCGAGTTCCCCTGCATTTGGGGAAATCACAGGGGTCAGCACATCCGGAGAGCAATGGATACACCTTGCCCCGGGAAAGCCACCTGCGTGATCATGGTATCTCCCTGCCAGGTAAGTATCCATTTTCATTTGTTGATCTATTCAAATTTTATTTTGAAATGACATTTTCTATTTTTCAGCTTTTATCCAGGGTTTGAATTTATATTTCAAAATCTCTATTTGCTTACAGATTTCTTTCACACTTCTGTTTTTCATTCAAATGGAATTCACCGTTGTCGTTGGTGTTAAATAGAAACCATCTTTTTTGTCTCTCCTTATTTAATCCCCTGAGGTTTCCAAGGCTGTAAATCGATACGTGAGCAGAAAGCATCTTTCTCCCCCATAGCGACTTATGAGTTTATTTAATGAGCAGTAGCATCTAACCTCCCATCGCTTTGCCAATGACTGCTGTTGGTGTTAGGTGTTGGCGCCAACTCATAGTGACCCTATAAAACGAAACTCACCGGGTTGATGCTGACTCATGGTGACCCGTTAGGACAGAGAAGAACTGCCCCTGTGGGTTTTCGGGATTCTAATTCTTTATGGGAGTAGAGAGGGTGACCTCCTGAGGGCGCCCTAGTGGAGAGAAGGCCTAAAGCAGCTTGCTGCATCTTTCTCCTGTGGAGGGGACAGAGGCCTTGAACCACCGGCGTTTCCCTTAGAGCCAAGCTTAGCCACTGCCCTGCCGCCATCCTGCAGTAATTAATAAAACCCTCATGATCATATATAAACTGTCCAACAACACATGAAAAATATTTTACATTTTATCTTTGCCTCACATTGTCCCTTTTACCATTCAAATACTGACAAGACTTGGAAATAGTCACAAGAGACTGGCAAGTAAATCTCACTCATTGAAGATATGCTCGGGGGAGGGGCCAGTCCCTGGAGACGGACTTTGTGCTTGGGAAGTAGCGGGTCAGGGAGAAGAAGGGCCCTGTCGAGATCGGAGTGAGACCAGGGCTGCAGCAGCAGGCACAGAGGTGCCGACGATTGGGAGGGTGGTGCTGAGCCAGGCAGGGCTTCATTGCCGTGCATGGGAAACCAATCTGCGGCACCGAACTTTGTAAAAAAAGACGTGCAATTTAATACTCCTAACTCTATTTCCTAGACAAAGCTAACAGAGACTCAGAAAGAGTCTATGTAGCCGAAAAATGTACATAATATCAAGTCATAGACCAGGACTTTCGATTCGAAGTCAACTGTCCCTTTCCCAACTCCTTGCTTAGACCTGTTTAAGCAACAGGTTTTCTGCACCTCACGCCATCCGTTCGGTTAAATACTCACTCCACGACTGTGATGAGCGGTTCCGAGGAGCCCTGGTGGCACAATGAGTTAAGCATTGGGCTACTGAATGAAAGGTCAGCAACTCAACCTCTCACCTTTCCGTGGGAGAACGAGGAGGCCACTGTTTCCAAGATGTACAGTCTAGGAACACTTATGGAACCATTACACTTTGTTCCACAGGGCCACTGAGAGTTGGAATCAACTTGATGGCCGTGGGTTTGGGTTTTTGTTTGTTTGTTTTAGGTATTTTAAATCATTTTATTAGGGCTTATACAACTCTTATCACAATCCATACATACATCAGTTGTGTAAAGCACATTTGTACATTCGTTACCCTCATCATTCTCAAAACATTTGCTCTCCACCTAAGCCCCTGGCATCAGCTC